TTTTATTAGACAAGTTAATTAGTCGACTATTCAAAACAGCTGCATGATACAAATAATAACATTAAATATGGTTTCCTAAAAATGGTTAAAAGCATGAAAACGAGTGTCAATATCAACATCAATACAATCCAGAAAATTATGGTTTTGGCGAAATGCAAAGGAGTGGCTGAAGAGTGACCGCTCATAGCGTTCGGACCATTGGTAGCGCATCGCTGGCCGCTGTCTCGCAGACCCTGTCTCTCGCACAATCACATCCGCCATTCGCTATCGTAGTAATGGTTGTCAGCGCACAGACAGCAGGCACTCGTGTCCACACTTTGTTACGAAATGGTGTCCAGAATCTGTTTGACGGCGTTGTGGCTCTTCTCCAGACTGTGTCCGTCCAGAGAAGCAGCCGATGTTTGAGTGCCTGTTATTGTGTCGGCACTGTTGCGACTGAAAGCAGGTCTCGTTGTACTGCCGGTGACCCAAACAGAACCGATTGTCCATAATTATAAGATGACTGGCACTGCACTCACATCCCTGGCCTCTCAGCGCCGTTAGACCCGTGAATGAAGCCGGGAATAAGCCATCGCTGACGTCTTTGCAAAACAGATAAGAACAGGGAATCACATAAAGACTATGCAGAAGCGCCACATTTATGACAGCGAAAAATAGTATGAGATATTCAATTAGATTCAGTACTTTACTTGTATTGAGTTCAGTCCCGGACCTATTGAGTAGCTGCCAAATAGGTCTGAGTGATGACCGCATTGTCTTTGTTGAGACCGCGAATCTGTTGACCGATGTATGCAGTGTTGGCTTCAGTGATGCTAATCTCTTGAATCTTAATTGGGGTCACATTTAGAGATCCGCTGCTGTTATGGTTGACCACAAAACTGCATATTTTCGCCAACGGCTCTAACCGGTAGAGTAGAAATCAACACACCTTTAGGCACCGGGAGTCGGGGTATTGTTTGCTTTGAGACAACTTTTGCCAGAATATCTGTATCACAACCGATGGTTGTTTGGAGTCCGAAATGGTTAAAATGAGTGTCGTTTATAACACGTCGAACGGCTCCTTAACTAAACCGAAAGTGAAGCTAATTATATACTGATATCGCACCGAACGGACGGAACACTTGTCACACATTTTGTCCCAATAGTAGATATCGAGCGGGAATAGGAAATATACCAACACAGACATCAACAGCCATATGATGCCTAACACTGTGAACGGCAACCTTCACTGATCAACGCAGACATCACTTTCAATACACTTTTTGTCTGAATTCAAACTAATATTTGATTTACAAAATATAGAAATTAGTAAAGAGTTTAAAGTAAATCAAAAACAGTTTAAAAAATAACGATTTTTTAAATGTTATTATTGGCGGACAAACGCTAAACATATAAGCAATTCAAACATTAATTTCTGTTGACTAATACAATGTTTAAATTGTTGATTATTGAATCAACTATTGGTTGAAATGTTTACACAATTAGTACAATTATTAGCACTTTTCTGTCAAAATTGTATTCATTTTAAAAAATTGTCTTATTTATAACAAAATAAAAGTCATGTCATTTATAATTGAAGACTATTTAAGCGCAGGTATCGTGTCATTGTTATTCATTGTGTTTATAACTATACATGTGTTCAAATATTCGATTAAATCCAATTCAATGGACATATGGTTTGATAAATACAGCGATTATGGCAAAAGTGACGCCAAATATGAAGCCGTGGATCTATTCTTTGGCTTCAATTAAATCTGATTTATGTCTTAAGACAACTGATTCACAAATGATGAACAGATTTGGATCGCAATTCAAAAGGAAAACACAGAAAATCACAGGATTTAGGTTTAAAACGAGACAATTTCTCACTTTTAAGCCTAAGATTATCACTTTAGCTGATCCGGACGTGAATAAGTTCACTCTTCCGGATCTGAACACCGAATATAAGCGACTTCTGGAAGAATATCACTCGAAGACAACTTATAATCACTATTACATCAATGTAAATCAATATTCTTTCGTACTTTTAATCAAATAAAACATTAATTATTAGCAAAACTAAAAATAGTTTTTATTTGTTATAAAATACAAAGTTTTTGTCATTAAAAATAATTATTATAAAAATTAAAATGTATTCAAAAATATAGTTAATTGTAATTAAAAACAATTTGAGATCTGAATTGAGACGTGTTTGCATTGAATGCCAAACAGTAACTGAAAGCATGGGTTCACTGGAGTTAACGGTAAGTATCGGTTTGTATTCAAATGTATGGTAAGTATTGAGCGGCAAAAATTTTTGTAACGAATTTTTCATAGCATTACATGTATTGAGTGATTGAATGATAGAGTGATGGGCGGAAAGGAAAGAGAAATGATATTCAATGTATGTGTGGGGTGTGTCTGAGAGACACCTGTCGTGTAGAATAACATAAAATGAAAGTTACAAACAATTAAGTAATGAATTAATGAAAACATGATTATACGATAGAATTACTCTTTCAAATACTGATATAAGGCTAGTATCGGCTGTTTTGGATCAAATCCGTGTCCATTCAATGAACAGCAATTAAGATAAAAAACTCGTGGAGATTTGCATTCACTGGTTGATAGCTGTGGGCATCGGTTTTGTCTGCCAATTCGTAGAGTGTCTTTGAGAGTAACCAATGGGGCTGTACTTATAATAATCGCATACTATTTGCCAGAAATTTGTTGAGACAGTAAGTGGTAAACAAATTGTAAACACAAATAGTGTTAAAAAACACACCAATTGATTAAACATTTTTCCGACATTAATAATGAATACATTTATTATTATTATTCAAATGTATTACCCGTTAAATAAAACAAATATTTCTCACAAAGTATGTTTACATTTTGATATCAATATCTATTATGAAAATGTAATTAAAATATAAATTAATTTCTTTTAAACTAAACAGAAAATTCAAAACATGTACTACAACAAAATTTTCAATACAAGTACTATTTTTATTTAACTGGAAATAAATAGTTACACAATATAAACAGCATTTTTGACGAGACTCAATCATTAACTTATATAAACAACACGCATGTATATTTTAAATTTTAGAGTAAACATTCCTAATTTCTACTATAAAATGAATCTATTTTTAAAATAATCTATTCTTGAAATATGTGCAAAACTTACATTATAAATTCAAAATAATTGTTTTAATAAAATTTATGTGACAAACATGTTTGTTAATTTAATGTAAATAAGATTTTTTTTGTAAAATGTTGTAATGTTTTAAATAATACTCAATATATTAGAGTAATATTGAAAGTTTGCCAAAAAGTTTAAATTTGTAATTGGCTGTGAATTTTGCAAATATTACGGTTTATATGTTGTAATGCGGGTTGTAAATGATAATATTAAGGTCTATTTAATTCTTATGATAATGAACTTCGACCATCGGCCTATTCACTAAAGTAATCACCTACTATCTACTATTGTGTCACCAATTTTTCAATTTTTTAATTGAAGATTAAACTAAATTTTAAGACCAAAATCGAAAGACACCCCCGATTTGATGACATCTGCCATTTTTAACACCATTTCTCTCACACACTTTAGAAATGATGGGTATCTGTGGTAATCAGTAGGGGGTATATCAGGGTTGAAGGCAATATGGGTATAAATTTTATATCCCTTCTTATTAAACTTTAATTGCGTTTTTATTTTTAAAATTACTTTTTTAGGGAATTTTTTTGCGTTGAAATAATGTAAAAACACCGTTAATTTAATCTCTAGCCGTTCTTAAACATATCTAAGTGATTCTCAATAGTCTATTCCCTGCATCCCTACCCTATGAACATATCTTCAGCCAACATGTTTGGCATCGGAGTCCCGAACGAGTTTTAACATTACCGATAAGTGACCGAACATCGGGTGACCACCACGGCTACAATCAAGGACGCGGGACATTTTTATCAATAGTGGTCATTGATGTCCACTCATACAATTTACATTATAAATGTGTTTAATTTATCGGGTGAACAACCGCGTCAAATAAGCTTTTTATAAGTTTGTATAAAACATTGTCTAATATACATTTTTATCAATAGTGGTCATTCATGTCCACTCATACAATTTACATTATAAATGTGTTTAATTTATCGGGTGAACAACCGCGTCAAATAAGCTTTTTATAAGTTTGTATAAAACATTGTCTAATATGTGCTGCCGTACGGGTGGCCAGACATCGGTTGGACAGACATTTATATGCGATTTGAACACAAATAAATTAAAAGTAATAATCACTGGATATTTTAGGCCAATAGTGAACACAATAATCAATTGAAAACAATAAAATAATTCATTTACAAAAAAGCATATATTAAACCGCATTACAACATATAAACCGTAATATTTTGTTTTTCAATACGAATTCGTATGAATGTGTAGAGAGTGGCCTCGAGATATAAAGCTTTATATTCAGCCATCAGATTGTGCAAATGGCCATAAACACACGAGATTATGTTAAATTTTTGATATGTTCTTAATGTATTGGATTTTTAACTATCATTTATCATTGAATGTGATTTTTAAGGAATGATAATTTTGTCCCTCGCAAACTCCCCGCTTAATATGATTTCAGCTTAAGTCTATGACTAAAATACATGGGTAATGTTTTATCTATAGAACTAATGGTCATCCTCTGCACATTTCTAATCCTGTGGGAAATTGGCTAAATCTTAATGATTAAGTCTATGTACAATGCTTAATATATAGAACTAGTGCATAGTCTACAGCAATGCTAATCCTACGGATAATGTTAGGCCAATGGGGTTAATGCTAATTCATTTAATGGAAAATGTTTATCTTGTAAGAATAATGCATGCTAGCTCTAAAGAATCTAAATCTATGGAACTGATGTTAATCGTATAAATATAATGATGATTCTATTAAACTTATGTTAATCTTCTGGACATGTTAAGTTTATGGCAACTATATTGTACTCAGATTAAAGCTATAAACAATGACAAGTGTGAATCATAATTTCATTATGCATACAAATGTAAAACTTTAATGATAAACCTCATCATAAATCATATGTTGTGGTTATTGGCCGCAATCTAATGGCCAAATATCCATCATATGGCGGCTCTCGACAAATGCATAATAATTTGTACCACAAAGGAAAATATTTTTAAAGTGGAATATTTTAAAATACAAATTACTTGTATATATCTTTTGTTGAATTTATAGGAATACCACTCCGCGATATTCCAAGAGTGTTATCAATGGGTGCACTGGTATAAGACAACACAAATATTAATTATTGTTTTAAAAAATGATTTACTCTCATTCTATAGTGTTTGGTATCCCTAAACAGAATCGATAACTTCATGAATGCCAACCAAATTAATAAAAACATAATTTCGAAAGATAAATCGAAAGATACGACTAAATCAATAATCCTTAAGAATTCGACATTTTCCTGGATTACAGATCCGGTACTAAAGAATATATCGCTGGAAGTGTTTGAACCGAAATTAGTGGCTGTCGTGGGTTTAGTGGGCGCCGGGAAGTCATCGCTTTTATCGGCACTTTTGGGTGAATTGGAAATTCTTGAGGGANCTTTTATCGGCACTTTTGGGTGAATTGGAAATTCTTGAGGGAAAGGCTTGTGTTAAGGGAAGTGTCGCTTATGTACCACAAGAGGCATGGATTCAGAATAAGACACTCAAAGAGAATATTGTATTCACTAATGAATTGAATGATGAATACTATGAACGAGTGCTCGAATCGTGTGCTTTAGTGCCAGACTTGGCTGTCCTTCCGGACAGAGATCTGACAGAAATCGGCGAAAAAGGTATCAATTTATCCGGCGGTCAGAAACAGAGGGTTTCAATGGCGAGGGCTGTCTATTCCGACCGAGATATCTATTTACTCGACGACCCGTTGAGGTATTCATTGTCATTATTAATTTGAAAAATATTTAAATTATCTGACTTTGTATAGCGCTGTGGACACACATGTGGGCAAACATTTGTTTGACAAAACTATTGGAAGAAACGGTTTATTAAAAAACAAGATAAGGATTTTGGTTACAAATTGTGTCTCAATTTTGCCAAATGTGGACCAAATTGTGGTCATTAAAAATGGATACGTCTCTGAATCGGGAACCTTTGAAGAGTTAATCTCGAAAAATGGTTATTTCGCCGAATTTGTGACCGAATATCTGTTGGAAGAGTCGGACAATGATCTCGAAAATGGAGAGAAAAAAATTATTAATAAATTAAAAGATAAAATGAAATTTTTGGTTAAAAAAGTTATTACAACCGATGAATTTAAACAATGTAATCTTAGTAATGACTGGAAGAGTGTTTTGGCAAAGACTTTAAATATATTGAAGGAAAAGCGATTGAATGATATTAAATGTGAGAATATTATTAGAAGAAAATCGATGGTTAAAAAAAGCGGAAAACTAATAAAAAGCGAAATATTAAAGACAAGTTCTGTTGGATTTAAAATATACAAAAAACACATTTATTTAATTGGTTTGTGGTTTTGTGCTGTGATTACTGTGTCATCTGTCGCCTCAACAATGGCTCAGATATTATCGGGTCTTTGGCTGAGCGGGTGGTCCGACGACTTCCTCGACGCCAATAAAATTAATGACACAAATCTTCGTTACGTAAGGCTTGGAGTTTACGCCGGAATCGGTGTCTTTGATACTGTTTTCACTTTAATATCAAATATATTTATCAGTTTTGGATGTATTAGAGCTGCGAAACACTTGCATAACATTATGTTGAATAGGATATTGAAAGCGCCGTTACTTTTCTACGGTAAGAGAATTGTTCACATTTAGCA